AGCTTTCAATGATCGGACGAATTCAACAATTAAGTTTCCATGTTTAAAAATACATCTAATAATGTGAAAAATAAGGTTTTACTAGTTACACTTATTTCAATCAAATTATTATGCTTTAAGTAAAATAAATCTTATTTATTTGATTAAAATAAATTCCTCGAGTTTTTTTCACCCTGACCGCATATCGAAGCTGCCCTGCATTAGCCAACTTTCACATGCACAGTAAAGATACAAGTTGCTTAATTAATAGCCCGACTATATTCTCTCTGTCTATTTAGAAAGTAATTGGTTTAAGAGCGGAATTTTAAAACCGACATTATAAGTTAACCTCTTACAGAGTACCAGTAAGAGAAGTAGCGCTCTATTCGCCGAAAATATGGATAAAAAAAACGGACTTCAGCTATACCCTACTCTCGCGCTCTCTGGCCTTATAATCATCCCGTCATTTCAGAAATAACTGTATACGCCCATTTACGGGAGAAGGTCAAGCAAACACCAAATTATTCTCGCTAATTACGAAAGTCAAAAGTCAATCACCTTTACCCGCTCTACTCGCAACAGTGTATCAAAAAAATAAATGGTTGACTCGAATGACGTGTCTTGCCGGCACGCGCGAGGGACATCGAGCAAGCAACCTTTTACGTGCCCTGTGACGAGCACTCCGCTTTTTTAACCTTCAAGCCTGCACACGGCACGCGCTCCCATGCATTAAAAACAAGGCCGAAGTTTCGTATCTCCAATAAAATCTAACAACAAAACATTAAGATAATACCACTCAGTAGGAGATCATCACATTTATAAGGCGGCGCGAGCCTTCGCGGTTTCATTCCTGGCCGTGTAATGGGGCGCATTGTTATGCTTCAAGCTCTATAATAGGTGCTCCGCCATACGCGCCACTGTCAACAAAGCACACAGCGAGGAACTCCAAGGGCATTCCGCTTCCTTGCGATCGTTATACCCGCCTCACATTGTGGAACAATAAGCCACGCGTGCGAAGGTTCCGAGCGCGTGCGGATTACAAATTGAGAGGGCGTTGGCGCCTCAGAATCGCCGCCGAGAAAAGAACGAGAGAGCAATGGAGACACTCGGCGAAAGAAAGCAACGCGCTATCCCAAATAATAAAGCGCCCGAAGTGCAGGGCGTTCTGCCTCTCTCTGCGCACGTTCTATTTCTCTCCGCTCTTTCGTTTCGGGGTGGATCCCGAATTAGAAAGAAAAGAGCGAACCGCTCTCAGTATCGTGGTCGACTGTGAAATTTCTAGCACGCCCTGGGAGGATTATAACCCACACGCACGCACGCGCTCTCGGGGAGGTGCACGCTTTCAGCAGCCGCGAGAATGGGAGGTAAAAGCATGTAAAACATGTCTTCCCTTCTCTCGCTGAGACTCGTGCCGCTCTCGGCGGCCCCCGCTTTGCTCGTGGACGAGCTTGGTTTCAGGTTGTCAGCCACTTTGCTGTGCCTGGAGGTTTGACTCCTAGGAGCCACTGCGTCATCGGCTACGCGCGTGTGTTCCCGCATCTATATGGGCACATTATTTTTACGTTGGTCGATTTGATTTGTTTGTTTTACTCGTAGTTCAAGAAGCTCTCTGGGCTTTTTGGTTTTGTCATAGATTGTTTCGCCCGCAGTTGTCTGCGTTAATCGGCGCGCAGCTCGTATACACGTGCGCACGTATACACGTGGGTTTCACGCGTGGCAGTCGGGCTCGTTGTCTGTCTTGTTGTTTTTACACTCGAGTCTGCAGGATGCCCGTACTCCTTTGTTCGTCAAGCGAGATATTTGATATCCGCCCAAAACGAGGTGTGTCCACGTAGAGTTTCCGTGTCGTTCGCACTCCCACTTCTCTCTCATTTGCCATGTTTGTTTTTACTTTGACTGTTTTGTCCTTCGATATTTAATTCTACATAAGGAGGCATAGCAAAGGCAGATAGGCATGCAACTTTAATGAGGGTTTTTATAGAAAGGTATTTTTGTTGGCCTTTCTCGCAAGAAAAGAGTGTCCATGGCAAGTTTGATATTCATATTGCAAAGTCGCTCCACCGTATATAGACACATGTCATGTACACGCTTTAACAATATTACGCACTGAACGTGCCTCTGGCATGTTCCTGTAGAGAATAACTTAGAATATGCCATCTCTAATGGTGCCCCAGACGCAGTTTTTTTTTTTTTTTTTAGTTAACCTGTATGTGTTATGAGAGGAGACGCTATCAATGCCTGCTATACTTGAATCGTCTGTTCGTTAGAACTTTACACTTTGCCGTGCTAGGAAATTCACAGAAAAACTGGTCGACATCCTGTCCTGTTGTATTGTTTCCTTCAACGCTTTCTGATAGGAGGCTCCATTGTTGAGAGGGCACAGAGCGTACGAGAGCCTCAATTTTATTTCTTGGATGCCAAGAACGCTACGTTTTTCATTGCATCTACATTATCGCTCTTGACAGTTTTATACTTTACTGATTCGCGTGTATCTTGCGCAATATTTTCAAGTACGGCGGAAATTTGGTAGCAGTAAACGTACGTGCCATACTCATATTTGGTGAATCGACAGAGTAAAAAATGGCGCTATACTTTTACTGAGTATGACTATACTTCGTTTCAGCTTAGATGCGAGCGCGACCGATGTCACTAGCCGAAGGGCCAATCAAACAGCGAAAGAGGCACAACCTCATAGCGTGCTCTCTACAGTTGATAGGACCAGCCGGTATTCGCCGTCTGTCTCTGTGCGTGCTCCTCCGTCGGCTAGTTCTATCTAGCGACGAAAGCACGCCATGACGCTGCGCTTTTTGCGCTGTTTGATTGGCCCTTCGGCCCATAATATCGACTGCGCTCTGACCTAGGCTGAAACGAAGTATACCCGCCAAGCCGCGCGGGCCTGACCACTGAGACTGAGCTACACAAAATATGTAAAGCGCATGCTCAATCTGAAAATGTTCATGTTTTCCATGCATTTTTGATTTTCTTATTTTGTGTTTGACCAAAAAGAAAAACATAAAAATGCCAAGTTTTGTTAGTAAATTTCTTCTTGATTCGAAGACTGCCACGGCGGTGCTAAAGAGAACGTTGCTCATGCGTGTGCCAAGTTGTGCGTAACGTATTTTAATCGTTGCGAGTGCTATATTCGTCGCTATCATCGTGTGTATTCTTAACAAATACTAGGTGTTCGCTGCATGGTGAAAGAATCCCCTCAATACCTTTACTCGAAGCTTACGTGCAGACAAGTAGTTGTTGGGCCAGGAGGTAATTAACTGACTTCTCAACGCAGAAAACAAAATAGTGCTTTAGTTCAAACATCCTGTTGAGAAGACTCTTTTCTGGATGTAATAATGATAAAAAGATGCTGTAATTCCCCAGTTACTCTCGTGAGGCGGCAACCAAGGAACTGTACAGTCGTAGAATGGTCCTACGCGCTTCCTGCAATAAAAATATCACACAGCGTCAAAGTGGCGTATATGGGCACCCAGGTCTAATCTGCAAGTCGCATATATTAATTACCATAATGGTTCTTAATCAGCATAATTACGGAGGGTGGGTTGCGACGCGGCGCGTCGTGCGGGTTCCTACGACGTTTTCGCTGCAATTTGATCTTGCGGCGAAATGATTCAGACCCGCGGCAGCTAGAGCATCATTAGCTCGGTCCTGTATGAGCCACGCTCATGTCGGAAACCGTCTTGGGAATGTGATGATGGTACCAGGCATAGACGGATCGACATCTCGTAGGTGGTAACGAACTGCGAAGCAGTGATTCAATGATTAGGCTTTTGTGTGCCGATTTTATCCTCGTGTTTACTGTTGTGGGCTTTTGCGTTTCTACAAAAAGGCTTTAAGTTTTAATTTTTTTTTATCAGAACATGTGCTAAAACTATTTGTAGGCGTAATTAAAGGTTAAAAAAAAAAACTCCGTGTAGGTGTTCGAAAAACAGTTTGGATTTTCAGATGGGAATAGTTTAGAAAGAAACTTTTGCGCACATTGGTTGAATTTGTTAAATCATATCAAAGTATAAACAACAAAAAAAAAACTTTTTTTTAGCTGGAAATTTAATAGGCATACACGAGGAAAATGTGTGTTTCTGTGTGGCCTGATCGGCACATTTTACAAGGTCATACTATTCGTGGCGTCAGCTACTCCGGTTTAACTATTGTCCTTGCCTTACCTTTCGCAATATTTGCTATTATTAAAGTTCGACACGAAAAAGCCCACTATGCCCAGTCAAAGCTGGATCAAAAGTTATGTTTTTCTTGTTCTAAACTTGGTTTTACGCTAAGCTCGACCGAAGCCAACGCTGCAATCCCATGGAGAGATTCAAGCAGCGCCAAAAGTGTGTCGCCATGACGCTCTTCGTCTTCGTTCCTTTGTTCTCATCGTCTAAAACGAATCACACGCATTAAACGGGGCGATATCCTGCACTTTTTTTTTTTTTGCGTGATTGGTTTAGTCGACAATTACAAACACAACGTTGACGAGCTACTTGATTATCTCAGTCGGATTTTAGTTTTGGCAGTGGTCGGATTTTATGTGAAATGGAGTATAAATGGGAAAGAAAGGACTACGTCTCTTCGTGAGCTACTGTGGTGTTAATAAATTAGTAACGTAAACATTATTAGAAGAACCTTCACACCTGGGAACAATTCTATGTTAAAGTGTTCATTTATTACGATAACTTCGGGGCCCAGGAGGCGTTAGACATTAGTATTTTAAGGGAAATTAATCATCGAGTACCAGAAAGTTTACATCCGGGTCAAAGGCGAGAAGGCAGCTGTGCAGGTACAAAGAGACTGGCTAAACTGATGTGTTAGACGCCGATGTAAAAGCATCTATCGTTGTGTCGAAGCGCTACAAGGCCGAGCTTACAGTTGTGATAGCATTTTTCATAGAGCATCTGCGTCCCCTTCTTCGTGTGCGTCTCCTTAGAGCTTAAAACTTTAAGAAGCATCATGCATCAATTAGCACAACAACAAGTTTGTTAAACTTGTGGCTGTTTCCCCCCTCGTTTTTGCAGGAGAGCACCAAGAGAAGTGCGCGGGTTGCGGCAAGTCGTACTCGATCACGGGTCGGCTGCTGATGCGGGGCTACTGTCCCACGTGCATGGGCACCGTGGCCGCCAACGGACTGCCCATCTCCTCCAAGACGGGCAACTACGAAGCCGAGCCGCCGAAGTCCCCACTGGACTCGAACGAGGACAGCAAGAGCAGCTCGCGGTCTAACCCGGACATGGGTGTGACCACTCCGCCTCCACCTCCGCGGTTGCTCTTCGGCGTTCTGGACCAGATGATGCTGCGATACCGACAGTCCGCCCAGGCCTTTCTGCCTCCGTCCCTGTCGGCCATGCAGTTCCTCGAAGGCGCCTCCATGCTCACTCCCTGACATCAGGCGTGACATCGCTCCTGCGACGTGGATGTGCGACGGACTGCGCTGTGGTGCTGAACAAATCAAAACCGTGTGCAAGAGGGTTTGCACCCGCTTGTTCCGAATGGAGGTTTGGGTTGTATATGAACGCTATGTCAAGAAACTGCGACCCCTCCCCCAAGTGGCCTTATATGAGCGAGGGATGTGCATTGCAGATCCCATGCTTGTCGTGAACTGATTAGAATGATCTCCATGCTGTTTTTTCGGGAGTGTGGTTGCCGCTTTTTAAGAAGCTTTGTCTATACACGCAGAATGTGGTGAACAAATTGTCTGTATATGTGAATCGACGATAATGCGATATACTTCAACCCCAGTCGTGACTGGCAATATTGCCAATTTTTGTGCCTTCGCCGCTGATATCAAAAATCCTGCTCAACTGCGCCGCATGCCTGTTGTAGATTTTTTTCTAGCACATGTGTTTGAGGTAGTTGTTGTGTGTGACATTGCGGGATTATAATTTCGTGTTAGCAGAAAGTGCATTGCGACAATTCTCCAAACAATTTTTATGATCTTGGCTACTTGACACTGTAGTTTCTTCTTTTTTTTCTCAACACAGAAGTGACTTCTGCATTAACCAAAAATTACTAAAGCCATTTCATGCATTCATCGTTAATTATCCGCTACAAAAAAAATCTTTATTTCGTGCTTGCCTCGATAGTGGATGCCACCTCTTACTCATAGACAGAAGAAACACGATGAACTGAAATCAACGGTGCTGGTACCCAATGCTGCCAAATGTATTTGTTTAGCAATGTGGGGAAAAAAATCAAGTGCATTGCTTGTCCCAGCTATATGTACAAAGATGTAGTATGATGTGCAATAACAGGTCCTAGCCAGTTTCATAAGAATTCCAACCCAAGTGCCATGACTTGTACACGCTAGACAGTGCCTCTAATATTAATTTAATACAGGGCTGTGAATTGACGCATTGAATTGTGCAGTAATAATTTCTGGAACATTTGATTTTTTGTAATTTATTTTTATTGATTGAAGCGTGCATACAAGCGTGCAACATAGCTTCATAAAATGTTGCTCGGAAATCTGCGTCAAAGTTCCCTTCGCTGATTTGTTTTCACATGTGTACACATAGCCCCCTTTTCCTACGCGCGCAATATAATTTATAGACTGCTCTGACCTTAGGCAACACATTTGGGTCGTTTCATTCTGCCGTTGATTTTGTAACCACTGAACCTAATTTTTGTATTATTTAGAAATTATTAGGAAACTTACTGAAGCAAACCGCAGAAAGTAATGCGTTCATAAACATATGCCTTTAAGAATTTCTAGAGGTGAAGGCAACGCGTAAATTTCAATAAACTTTGCAAAATTATTGCCTTGTTAAAAAGTTTGGCAGATTTTACTAAAAAAAAAAAACATGTCTCGGTGCTTATGCTATTGCAGAAGGCGTGTGGATGTATTTGAGGGGCTCGGTCTCAGCCATTTGTTTATTCGAAAAGAAATGTCGACATGAGTTCACCAAGTGTCATCACGTAACTGCTGTGCATTTCTAGCCTGCGCAGATTACGGAAATAGATGAAACCAACTGTTTATGCAATATCTAGTCTATTTCACCTACGTGCCTTATCATGTTGATGCCTTGTAATAATTGAATACCTTTTCGGGATGGAAATAAACTTGAAAACATGAGCAGCTAGTTATTGTTGTTTATTTAAACTTTGTCGGGAACCTCATGTATGCCTAGCATGCGCAGTAACTCGGTTCTTCACTCGTAATTGTTCCGCTTATATACGAATATTTCCGAGTGCGCGTCACGAAATTATTTTGATATAGTTGCAAGTAGGTAAGCCATGGGTAAAGGCCGCTAACATCGCTTGATCTCAACAACTTTGATTTTATCTCCAAGAAATGTTCTCTTTTAAGCAAAATATGAGGCTTCAGGCATGAATGTATTATGGCATAATTCACTTCTTTTACTTCACATACAGTAAGTACCTGCGACCTATTCCAGTGTCCATATGTTAGGGATCTCCGAGAAACTGGACTGACGTAACTGTGTAATCCCGATACATTCTGGTCCATAACATTGAGGCTATGGCATTTAAAGATACAATGATATATCGCCTGGTAAAGTACGGTACCTGTTTGTTAAACAAGACCAACTGCCCAGAAACTGATAGCGCATCTCGGAAGCTCGACTTCTTTTAAGAATACAAAGTATACGCACGGAGAGAAAAAGAAGCATCATCAGAAAACAGAAGAGAACCAAACAAGAGGTGACAGGATTTGATGCGCCCGAGAGGAAACAGCATTCGTCTCCCGTCGAAAGGCCGTTTAACGATCGACCATATGGAACCTAGTCGAACTTTATGTGATCCTACGTTTCCTTCCCCTCAACCGCGTTCCCGCGGTGACTCTTATCAGTATAGAAAGCCGACATAAAAAAACATGAAAGCAAGCACAAGTGAGCAGGTAAAATGGCGAACACTAAAAAAGGGGGCGGGAGGGGGGGGGGGAGGGGAGAGAAAGAGAGCTTTACGGGAAGAACACCCGCGAGGCTATGCTTTAGTGCCAGATACGTCAAAGTAAGGAGGAAGCGCAGATCTCTTCTGCAGTGGTCGGTGTGCGTTTCACTTGGTATTCCAGAGAATGAGTGTGAGATGTGGTCATTAAACACAGAGGACTCGTCGCTATGGATCTAAGGGGAGGAGGACTTCAGCTAGGAGAGATAAGCTGCGCACAAACCAGCCGGTGGTTTCCTCCACTGGCGCAGGACGTCCCCGCCTGGCGAACCTCGCGTGGCGGCGCACTTTTAAGTCGGGTTCACCTTGTTCCGCCATGATTTATAACTGAATTCGGGGAGGGGGCAAACGGAGAAAGCTAAGGTAAGAAAACGAGCGACTTGTTCTACAAATTTAACCTGTCTGCCTCTGACTGTTGTCACATTTATGGTTTTTACTTTCGGCGCGGTTTACAGCTTTTTGGGGTGATCATAAAAATTCCCCAAGAAAGTAAATACGGAGGTTACGTGTATTGTGCGGCTGGCATACTGATCGAAACATTCTCTGTGCTTGCATGGTTCTTTTTTTAAGCTTTCTTTTGTTTTTAATATTAAGAAAGAAAGACAAAACAAAAAACCTCTGCCATGTGCCGGCATGCGCGCTTTTATTAACAAGATAACAATGAAGTGATAGAAATAACACATAATATACAGGTGAGCTAATGAATTTTCAACTTCTTGAAAACCCGAGGCCAACAAAGACATCCTTTTCTGTTTCTATGTCACTAATTATTCAACAGTTATTGAACAATATACGTGTCCTAGCAAGACATAAATATGAGTAAAAACTATTTACTTAAAGATATCTCGTTTTTCTCTAAATCCACAACATTGATTCAGTTACAACAATAAAGTTATATCTTTGGACGCTCGTTAGTAAAATTGTGAAGTAACGTCCCAGGCAATTTTAGCACTATTGATAGTGCGTTAGATTGTGAAATGATATGTGTTCGGATAGTGCACATTAATCGTCAGACTTTCATATGAATAAAGCAGAATTATATTGTCCTAGCAATTGTGAGCTATACACTGGAGAAAGCGTGTTGTTAAATGAAATACACGAATGATATGGTCATGTGTCAACTGTTTAAGAAAGCTATCATGGCAGAAGATAAAGTAAGTAGGCAGGCGAGCTGGTTGATGTTACACATTTTTGAAAACCGGAGACGACGGACGAAGAAGGGGACAACACACAAAACGTCTCAATTGAGACGTTTTGTGTGTTGTCCCCTTCTTCGTCCGTCGTCTCCGGTTTTCAAAAATGTGTATCATGGCAGGCCCGTTTGTCCAGTAAACATCGTGCAAATATATTTGATTTCCCGGCTCGTAAATGCCGAACACAGCAGTTCCTGAAAATGAGGCTCCATCTGGAGTTTGTCTGCATGTAACCCTCCCTATTTTAGAAATGGAAACATTAATTCATTAATTAGTTGAACAACCGGTGTGAAGAGAGCAGCGGGGTGATGTCAACGCCGCAAAAGGGAAAATTCGTGTATGCGAATGACAACATTCCCCTCCCCTTGCAAATACACGGCACAGGGTTGTTTGGTGAAGCGAAGAATACAAGTAAGATATTGCGTTAGCAACAGTGGAGCGAAACGTCTGCCATCAGACCCTCAAGGAAAAGGCGACCTGTTAACGTGACATTTTAAAACTCAGAATGAAATCGCTTAAGATCAACATAGCGTTTCTTCAAAGGAATGCAAAATAATAGACCGATCTCACCAGCCAGTTTGGCTACGCCACCGCTGCCGCAATGCATCGAGGGAGCTTAACCGCTCATTCACACTGGGAGCGGATCCGCGTTCGCAAAGCGGTTGCGAACGCGGTTGTATAAAGATCCAGTACAATCGACCCTTTCCGAAAGTCAATCTACCCACCCTGTGCAGAGCCAAACCCGACGCTCTAATGGCGGCGCTACACAACTTCTCCACACCAGGAAAAGCGAACGTCTTCGAAGGCGTTGTGCAGAAAGGGGAAAATATGTTGGTTTTTTGACGTCACCTTCGATTCACGAAATCAAGGGTGCTTGATTTAGCTGAGCATGATTTCCTCTAACCGTCATTAGAGCGGCAATATTGGAGCTTTTGAGACTGTCACAAGGTGACTCTGACTTTTGAAAAGGGTCTATTTCACGCGCACTTGATGTCATCGACTGCGCGTGCAATTGTACTGGATCTTTATACGACCGCCTTCGCAACCGCTTCGCGAACGCGGATCCGCTTCCAGTGTGAATGAGCGGTTAGTCTTTCTGCGCGTGCGAACACATGGCTGGGGTTCTGCACGTGTAGAGCACGAGATGGCACGGGCCCTCGCATGCGCGGGCGTCTGCCTTCATGTGAAGTAAAGTTCTGGCGGTGTCACGGATGGGCCGAACGCATAGTGAGATCGGACTATTGTGCAGAAGCGTACTAAAAATAGGCACAGAAAAACACAAAGT